TTCTGTGCCTAAAATGTTGTGACTTCGCTGCACCACATCATTAACCAGCCAGAGTTCATCCCTCCGGAGCAGGCTCAGTGGGTGCACATTCCCTTTCAGGCATGGAGTTGACTTGTAAGCTAGCTGTGTGAAAGGGCCAAAAGCATCAGTGGCATAAGTGCCGTTTATGTGCGTCAAGTGAAACAGGATTCAGCCCTCGCTGCCTGTGATGAAGCCACCAAAAGTTCAGGCAGCCAAAAGACAAGCAGACTTTTGAAACCTAGGCCCTAGCTCTGTTTGAGCCACAGTCTGCCTTTTGCCAAATGGCAATATTTGACCACCTCTCCCATGCAGTGTGAAATGCAGCCGATGACTACAAGAGAAGCCTGGAAATGCAAAGTGGCTTTATTAGACAGCCTCCCCGCCATGAACAAGGCTTTGCAGGAATCAAAGGGAAAATGACAGATTTCATGCACCAGTTATGGCAAATTTCACAGATTGCCCAGGGCTGCTAGGGGAGGATGTCACAGCACAAAAGTAATTTATATTGTTTTATATGGTTCCAGACACTGGATATAAAAAAAAAACAGCTCAAGCTGTTTAGCTCTGCTCTGCCTGTGGCTTCTTCCTTTCTGAGATGTGTTCATTTGGATGTGGAAGAGGACAGGTCTTGGGTCCAATGGACGGTCTTCCAGAAGAGCCCATTGTGCAGGGGCCACAGAGGAGATGCGGTATGCCATTAACTGCCCAGTGTTGCCTACTTCTGTAGTTACACATACTGCCTATGGTTTCTCTGGCAATAGGAATGACCACCATAATCTCTCCAAACAGACTGACCATCACTAGTGATCCTGCCCCAGGGTTTATATTGTCTTCTGCTGGCCCTAAGTCCAGGAGTGACTGTACAGTCTCTCCCTGCTCGCTACTCAGGAGTCAATCATCAATAAAAACAACCCCCCTGAGATACTAAAAGCTAAAGAATGCCTTACCCTTAAAATAAAGGTGAGCCTTGGGTCCTGCAATGCCTATTGCTTTCCTTCATCTCATTCTGATGCCTTCATAGGCAAGTCATCTTTACTGATGCCTGTGTGAGTATGGCAAAATAGTGGAATTGGGCCCATCCATCTGACATTTATGGTGTTTCAAGAGAATCTGGGAATGGCATCATGTCAGTAAATCCTTGCAGATGAACCAAGTAGAGGTTTCTGAGATAAGCAATAAAGGGGAGCAAAAGAAAAGGAAAGAAAGTCAGCAATATTTTTTATTTGACTACTGAAAATCAAAATGAAATGAGTGTGCTTTCTAGAATCGCACACACCCCTGTCAAGCCGTGAAAAATGGAGCTATAGGAAAGCAATAAGAACAGCACTAAGATATGATGATAAATTAAAGGGAAGCACAGATAGGAAGCAAATATGAGGTGGACTGGAGACAGTCCTACTAGCTGTGCGCAGATCACGACAGCTACAAGCTCTATTGATCAGGGCAGAAAGCAAGAGTAAGGTTAAAAGGAGAAGTGAATACGCTTCAGGAGCAGGCTGTACCTTCCCTCTCTGTTATTTATGGCAAACGGGACAGGACTTCACTTGTGCACTGGACCCTGCCTAGGGAAACCAGGATGGCCTATTTCTAGCAAGCTATTCATTGCCTGTGTACACAGCAGGTCTGAACTGAACTCGTTGAAATCAGTGTGGGGTTGTCTGGGTGGGATTTAGTGGCCTGTACTATACAGCCGTCAGACTGGAAGATCTAATGGGAACATTTGGCATTACGCTTTCACTCAGTAACTCAAATCAGGGTCCCAATCCTAGATGCCCATCTTCACCCAGGCTGCAGATTAAGTAGGCATTTCAGACGATGCCCAACTTTCAACATGCGAGTATTGCATGTCAATTGATGTCAATGAAGACTATTCACTGGCTTGAAGCTAGGTATGTGTGCATCCCACTAAACTGAAGCTCGGTGGGACTGATGCTGATAAGGATAGTGCAAGTTGTCAGGGTGACAATATTTGGATTTTGGGGAGCTGTAAGGGCCAGATTCTGAAGTGTCCCTTTGTCTTCTTGAGAAAAATCCACCCTGATCCTTGTGTTTTACCCTCCTTTAAAAGCTCTGGAGATCCTTGGTGGTTTTCATGTACATAAAAAGGCCCTAAAATTTTTTCCAACTGTTTAGTTGGTCTAATAAAAGATATCAGATTTCCCCAAAGGACCTTGTCTGCCTATGTCCTTAGACTAATATGGGTACAACCAACACCCCTAAAAAGCCCCAATAAATGCAGTTTCCTTTCTCTCCTGTTCCTGTTTATGAAGACAAACCCATAGCAAGAAAATCTTTTTCCGTGGCTAGCTGGAGCTAGCCAGTATCTTTGCAATTTTTGGCAGCACCGGTATCTTAGCAATTTCCCAGCACTGTTTCCTTTGTGTTCTAATTGTGTTTGAAAATAGCTGTGTGCATGGATGTCTCCAAAAGCAAGAGCTGGCATGGAGAATGGAGGGCACTGAAATAAATTCAAACAGAGCCCAAAAACTTATAGACACAGTTGCAATCCAACCTCTCACATGCAGTTCCAAACCAATAGCAGCAGATTTAAATCAAAGTAGCACAGTGCCAGCCGACTCCTGTTATCTCCTGTAGGTTTTGAAGCAGTATTTTAAAATGCTGATTCCAGGATGTTTGACCTGGGAGGGCAGAGTGAGCTTTCTCTGTCCAGATTGTGGATTTTTTTCCCTCCATGTCCACAAAACAAAATGAACTAAGCACAAGGGAACAGCAGATAGGGGAAAAAAGCCTTCAAGCACTTCCAGCTCACACAACTGCAGCCAAATCTTCTTCCATCCACAGCCTTCTGTTTGAGGAAACCTGATTTCTTTTGTGGGTACGTTCCTCTCACCTGGATTAAAATGTGTTTCATTGTATTTGGCTGCATTAATTGGTGCATGTCAAGTTATGTTTAGTGAGCAGGCCAGATAATCAATATGCTTCAGCATTTCAAATCAAGGGGATTTGTGTTCATTGAGTGGCCTGGCTCCTTGTTTTAGGTATTCAAGGTTTGTTTGTTTGCCCTTTCTTTCCTGGCTGCTGATTTGAATGACAATTGTACAGATAATAGCAAGTCATTCCTTTAGGAGTCATGCCACTTTGGGACAAATCCTACTTCTTAGGGGTATATTTAAGCAGTGCTTTAATGGGCCATTTGTCTCCTTAGCCTTATAAAGTCCCCCCCACACACACCATAGTCTGACACCACTGTAACAAGTTCTGCTTTGTGTTTATTTAAAGGAAAAGGGACAATTGATTATTTACAGCGACAAATCCACTCCTGCTTTGAAGCTGATAGCGAAGCTCTGATTGACTTCAAAGGGAGCAGAAGCAGACCCAGAGGGACACAGCTAACTTTGCAATGTATCCATTATCTTGGCAGAAACCGGGGAGCCATCACATTAGGATTGAATGAATCATTTCCCCCTCATTCTGTGATCTTATCATCCCATTGTGTTGGTGCTTTGCAACAAGAAGCCTCTACAGGACAGATATGATATACTCCTTGGTCCCGTGGATGGGGGATGTGGTCCCTCCACAACTTGACTCCTCCCTCCCGTCTGTGGTTTGCCTCCAGGGGGGTAAGGAAAGAGGAGAATTTATGCTCCCCTAAGAACAGGACTGGGGTTGGCTTTCAGGCGGGGGGACACGATCCAATATCAGCTATTGCACGTGGGACCGCTCTGCCATGTATTATCCATGGACTTCGATATGCTTAGAGAGGTGCAGATCATCTCAAATGGTGCGGGAGCATGTGCTCTAGTGGAAGAAGTTGGCGGGAGGAAACAGATGGTCCAACCTGTCTAATTGCTCTTAATTATTGATTCCTGTGTGATTTATGCATGAAGCTGAGTGAAGACTCAAGCCCCCTGTCGTTCCTATTATTATGCACATTTCAGAATGGAGCTGTGATCCCCTGGTTGTGTTCACTTTTCACAAGGCTTCTGGCTAACAGGAAGATGCAGCAAATGGTAGGCTAGTATTGCAGAGTGTGGGCAAGAAGGGAGCCTGGGGTGTGCCACTTATTTGCCCAGGGAGCCTGACTCTCTTCAGGTCCGGACGCCTGGCATTTCACATGCACAGGACTCCCAGCCATTGCTGGAAACCTTCCTGCAAACCCAGAACTGACATCAATTAAAAGACTCTTTAAGGAACTGTGATTCCTCTAACACCTGCTCCCAGAGCCTTTGCAAAGAGCAAAGGAGGTGAAATGGCCTGTGCGGTTGGGACTCATTGCTGCACGTGATCTGCCTACCCCAGGCTGGTGCGAGTGTGTGGCACGGGCACTTGCGGCCTGCCTGCCACCCAGGTTTACCTGGGCTCACGGTCCCCCATGGGTGGCTGAAGTATGGAGCTGTTTCTAGCTGCTGCGAGGAGTGGCAGAGTCCACAAGTCGCCAAACCAGGGCCCGACACAGGCATGGGCAAAACCAGGTGGACAGAAAGGGGCCCCGCAAATAGTGAAATCAATGATTATCTTTATCTCTGGTGATACTAAAAGTTTCCCTGGGGCCACCAGGAGGTGCGGTGCTGTGCCAAACCCAGGGACCGATTGGAAAGAGTCCAGCAAAGGGCAATGAAAAGGGGACTGGGGCACACGACTTGTGAGGAGAGATGGAGGGACCTGGGCTTATTCAGTCTGCAGAAGAGAAGACTGCAGGGGAGAGGAGGGGGATTTAATAGCAGCCTTCAACTCCCTGAAAGTAGGTTCAAAAGAGGATGGAGCTGCACTGCTGTTGGCAGATGACCCAAGGAGCACACAATGGGCTCCAAGGCAAGCTGAGGTTGGATATTACGACTAACTTTCTCATCAGGAGGGCAGTCAAAAACACACTGGAGCGGCTTCCCAGAGAGGTGGTACCGTCTCCATCCTTGGAGGTGGGCTGGTCCTGCTGGGAGGGAGCAGGGGGCTGGGCTAGATGCGACCCCCTGCATGCAGGCATTGCCCTTTTAAGATGTGGCCC